GCTAGGAAGATAGCTACTAAACCTAAGAATACTTAAAAGAATAGTTCTTATAACTATAATAAAGGTAGTTATTATACTTCCTAACTAGCCTATTAAAAATATATACTATAAATACTAAGCTTATACTTAGATTATAGTAGATACTATACTTCTAACTAGTAGAAGGTCTTACCCTAGCTCTAGTTATAAGAATAGTCTTATAGAGCTAGGTATAGGCTCCTAGCTAACTAGGTATACTAAAGCTATACTAGTTAATAGAGTAGAGTAGGGTCCTAGTAACCTATACTTACTCCTAGCCTAATAGAGGTTATAATCCTATCTAGAATAGAAGCCCTATAACTACTACTAGATTCCTCTATAAGTAGGGGAGGAACTAGGTGTCTAGGGGTAGCTCTATTATTAGGCTAGAAGCCTAGGTAGTAATACTACTAGTAGTAGGTATAGGGGTATCCTAGTTAGCCCTAAGAGTGCCTACTAAAGATAGTAATAGCCTAAAGATAAAGGCTCCCCTTATAATAGAGGCTAGCCACACTCTTATTAAATTAATAAAAAAGGGCCTGTATATAACCCTATATAGGGGGAGGAAGGCCCCTATAGGAATAAGGGAAAGGGAGGTAAGAGGAGCCATAGTAGTAGTAGTAGTAGTAGTAGTAGTAGTAGTAGTAGCAGGGGTAGTGGTGGGCCCAGTAGGGGCAGTAGTAGTAGGCCTAGTAGTAGTAGTAGTAGTAGTAGACACAGGGGGGAGGGGTATAGTAGGTAGTAGTAGTAGTATAAAGGCTACCTCCTCCTCCTTTTATAAGAACTATTAGTAAGAATACTATAGACTTATAAGCCTTTACTTACCTCTAAGAGATTAGAGAGGATAGATAAGAGTAGAAATATAGGGGAGGAGGTATAGAAGGATATTTTTCTATAAAATATCTTATAATATATTAACTACCTCTTTTCAAATATTATAAATCACAGAAGGTCCCTTACTAAAACTTTTATAATAAAAACTAGAAAAAATATAGAAGATAGAGGGAAGAAGAGCTTATATACTCTATAAAAATTATTACTACTCTAAATCCTACTCTATAAAAATTTTATATAATAAGGCTATTAAGGGATTTATAGAAGTATTATAAGAATAAGTAATATAAATCTAAAATATACTATAAGAAGATTTTAATAGTAATAAAGATATTATAGTTAAAGGGGTCTACCTATAACTAAGCCTTTATAAGAAGATAAATAAATATAAGTTTATAAAAGAAGAGGGTAGTAAATCTTTTCTATTATTTATGATTTTCTCTCTATAAAAAAGGGTTTTTTATTAAATAAAGATTTTTACTAGTGCACCCTATTATAAATAAGGAATCTTAGATAGATCTTAGGGGCTAAGGTCTTTTAAGGGGGGGGGTAGTTATAAGATTTATAAAGGTCTATTATATATTATATTAAAGCTATCTTTATAGAGGAACCTAATGATAAGAAGGCTCCTTATAAGAGGTCATATAAATAGTTATATAATCTATAAAGATATAAACCCTGCCTATAACTACTAAACTTCAGAGTTTAGTGATAATCTTTTAAAAAAAGGACACCAATATTTAAATCTATTCATAATCATTCTTCTTTCACACTAGTTTCTAATTCTCGCGGATCATAGATCCTTATAGTAAGTCATAACACATAGTAATTTATATAGGAGTTAACTTTAATAGATTCTACTGAAAAGCTCTATAGATAAGATATTTCTCTAGATAGATAAAATAATTAAATCTAAAGCTATTTATACTAATAAAAGCTTATATCTTAGGGAATTTCAGGAGACAAGAGATCCTATCTTATAGAAAGCTTCTCCTTTTACCTATAGCCTTTCTAATTTTAATTATCTTTACTTATATAGCCTTCCTTATACTTATTCCCTCCTTCCAGCTGAATAATAAGCTCTATATAATAGATTAGATACTTAATCTACTATTAAATATACTCCTATAGGAGCTTATTCTATATCTTTATTTAGGTCTCTTTCCCTATCTTCTTATTATAGGGAGCTCCTTAAGAAGTTATATATTATTTAAGCTATAGTATTTAGATCTAGTAAATTCCCTAGCTAGTTAAGGATCTTCTTAATCTTATAAAGCTAATAGACTATCTATTAGAAATAGTAATAATAAGCTAGAGCTAAATCTTTAAGAATAATTATATTTAGTTATGTAGAGGCGCATTCTTTAGTAAAAGGTATTAGCTTAGGGATAAGGACTTCCTAGATAGATATAAGATTTAACTAATTAGTATCTTTTTCTTAATAAAATTAATAGAAAAAGAAATACTTACCTTATAATATCTATATTAGTTAATACTATCTTTTAAATCTTATATAAGCAGCCTATTCTTCTTATTCTACTTCTACTTAGATAGATAGCTAGGCATCTTACTATTCTGAAGCTTTAGATATATTAAGATAACTTCTATCTCTTATTTAGCCTTCTATATAGACTTAAGCTCCTAATTTAAAGCTTCTATCTTTAGCTAAGTAAGCCTCTTATCTTAAGCTATCTCTAGAGCCTAGATATAAAGAGACTCTTTCTTATTATAAGAGAATACTTCCTATATTATAAAATTACTACTTCTCTTCTATTACTAATATATAATAATAGAATTATCTCTCTTCTTATTTATATACTAGACTTATAGAGCTTTATACTACTGCCCTAGAGAGATAGAGGTTTTATCTATAAATATTATATTTTTCTAATCTTTAATTATCTAATCTTTATAAATAAGATAAAAGAGAAGTTTTTTTTACTTTATCTTATTAGTTAGACCTAGCTTTATAGTTATTTTTACTATCTTAAGCTTATGCTTCTTCAGGATATATAAAATAGTAGAATAAGAGATATTAGCTTTAAATATAAGTATTTTAGATAATTTTTTATATCTATTTTAATCCTTTCTTACTAATTTAAGGATAGCCTACTTAGTAGCTTTAGTAATCTCCTTAGGGCAGTCTATATGCTTCCTATCTTATATATATTTAGGGAAGATATATAGATTAATCTCTAGTTTATAGCTATAATCTATAGTCTTTTTAATCTAATTATAAATTATCTAAGTAGAAAGCTAAAGAGAGCTCCTTACTATTCTAATATTAATACCTATAGTCAGTAAGGTAAGGGCTTAGATATATATAGTATCTAAATAAGTAATATATATCTTTAGCTTCCTTTTCTATAGATTTCAGGGTGTACAGCACAGAGATTTACAGGTAGGCAGGCAGGCAGGCAGGCAGGCAGGCAGGCAGGCAGGCAGGCAGGCAGGCAGGCAGGTAGGCAGGTAGGCAGGCAGGTAGGCAGGCTACTAAGGTGGGCTGAATGCTCTGTTAAATCTATTTTAATAGAGAAAAGGGGTTGTGAATAGCTTTAAATTAGTAGAAGTCTAGCAGTAAGAAATTAATAAAACTAGAAGAACTAGAGAAGATAGTTAATCAATAGCTCTTCCTAGTAAATTTAGTGTATAAGCTATGTAAAACTATTACATTTAATTTTACTAGCGGCCCAGATACTTTTGCACCACACCTCTGTAGAGATAATTATTAAGCACTAATAAGGATCGCACCTCGCATATACTCAAGGAAAATACTATTATCCGCGTAGAAGAAACACTGCACCATAGAAGGGCATGGTGGATGCTGAGACAAGATCTCATAGATCTTGACTTCTTTCTGAAATTGCTCTCTCTCAAAGTCGCCAGATTTTGGGACCTTCACCACAATATGAGGATGGACCTCATAGACATAGGAGATGCCTCCTTTCCAGACCCAGTGCACACCAGGGAACTGCTTCTGGATACTCATAGTAAGGAGATAGTGTAACAAGTGGGAAGAGAATGTGCAGAAAAAAAAATCTTGCTGTGTGTATGAGGGAGGTAAGCAGTAAGTAGAAAGGGATGTCCAGGGGTGGTTGCAGGTCAGATGAGCTCGTAATTTTACTCCGGCGAGCGGTAAATCTGTAAATTACAAGAATAAGTCATGTGATGCTCACATAACCTCAGAAAAAATTTCATCTTACACCACCTCTTTCTGAACCTTACACCATACCACTATCAACACAACCATGGCTCAAATTGCTGAAAAGGTAATTATTTATCACTTAAAAACTACCTTATTATTACTTGGGATATAGACAGCTAACAGGATAATAATAGCTGAGATATAAGTAGTACTTAGAGATGGTGGTGAAGGGTGCATTGCAGTTACTAGAATATAAGATGGTAAGAACTTATATTATTACTTCTAAGTACTTAGAAACTAATTTTTAACTGCTTACAGAATAATGAGGGAAAGATTATCATCTATTATGGGGAGGTTTTTTGCCGCGTTCCTGATTGCTCCAAGGGACAGGTAAGTAGTTATTAACTACTTAATAACTACTTAATAACTGCTTACGAACTGCTTGATAACTACTTAGTAAAAATATACTTTGATAAATAATCTCTAATCTCACCTGTGTCTACATGAATCAATAAAGGCCCAACTCAAAGAAGGAAATACTGGTGGCCGGGCTAAGCAGGCAGATGTTGATCGGGCAATGAGTATACTATATGACTAAATCAATTTATAAGTACTTACTAACTACTTGTGAACTACTTAGAATAGTATAATAGGTTATTCAGTAGTATAGATGCAACTTTAGCTACCCCTATCACTATTACTACAGGGCTAAGTACAACTCTATAACAGCCTTTAAAGCCCCCCCTCCCCCGCAAGAAAGACAGCTCTGTAAGTACTTCCTAACTACTTATAAACTACTTTCTAAGTAGTTACTAACTACTTAGGTCCACATCACGCACATAAGACAGCAGGTAGCAGACCTTAGGCAGAAAGTTCCCTGCAGCCCCTGCAAGAAGTATAAGAACTGCTGCAAGGACATTAATCAGTGTACTTATTTTCTTCTTTTTAATTATGAAGATCTAATACCCACTCCTGCCTATTCTACTTCTATGCCTACTCCATCATGAGCTCAGAGACCACATATTCTATGTAATAATAAAGGTATGGAGGAGACTGAAAAGGAGACAGAGGAGGAATTAGGTGAAGAAAGTAATGAAGATAGTATACTGTCTACTCTTTCTAGTCTTAGTATTGAAGCTAAGGAGGAAGAAGAACATCAGCCAGGACATAGTAAGAGATCTGAAGAGACTAAAGAAGCTAAGAATACTGAGGAGGTGGAGGACACAGTTAAGACTAAGGCTGAGCAGTAATTAGTTTTAAAGCACTTAGTAACTACTTAGCTAGTTCTTATATTAGGATAATAAATAATGATCATGAGGCATGAGAGAGGTGAATTCACTATAAAATATAGCTTTAAAATACCTTATAACTACTTAGAAAGTACTCAGAAAGAATATATTATAAGTTTGATATATCAGTACTGAATTAATGACCAAGATATATAATCTTAATATATCTAAGGTGCACTATAACTTAATATACTTAAGTACTTGATAAGTACTTGATAACTACTTGCCAAGTACTTAACCCAATCACTATATCTAGTGTACTGTAGCTTAATATTCCTAAGTACTTGACAACTACTTGCCAAGTACTTAACCCAATTACTAGGAGTGCTAAATTAAATATGATATTATTATTATAGAGGAATATTTAACTCTAATTACTTTTGAACTGCTTTAGAAGTACTTAGAAACTACTTAATCTATATTAAGAAGTCTCTCTAATTCGCATTCGCCGCTCCATAAGATCCAGTTCTAATCTTTCATTCTCAAGCTGCTGTAAGCGAATTTCTTCCTCCTGTTTCTTTATTTTAATTTCAAGCTTCTTTAATTCAAGCTCCTGTTGTCTCTGCTCTAGATTTATTGTATTCATTGAGGCAACACGGCGAAGGGAATGGCTAGGGCTAAGTACTTAGTAAGTAGCTAGCAGACACTTCCTAAGTAGTTAGGAAGTACTTACCTTGACCCCCTTATCTGGGATAGAGATTATTAGGAATTAACCTAGGTATTACCCCTTCTTGATTCTGATGTACTTCATATTTCAGTAATACCTGAGGAGTCTGACCAGCGGTGTTTCTGGCTCCCTAAGAAAGTAGTTAGCAACTACTTTAAAACTACTTAGCAAGTACTTAGCAAATATTAATATACTTTCTCAACTCATATAACGGAGGTAATTTGCCTCCATATTTAATGTTTAATATGAGTGGTGAATATTCAACTCAGAAAAGTTCTTATATTATAAGATATCTTCCCGATCAAGCTTTGCTGAACTAGATTAAAGTTTAGTACTTAATAAGTAGTTCCTAAGTGTTTAGAAAGTACTTACTTCTTGACTGCTTCTACTAATATGAGATATTTCCCCAAAGCATATAACTTCTAATGTGATTGCTTAACAGCATTAGTATGATTTCATAATAAATTAAAATAATAAGGCTGAATTTGAGAGCATGCTCTATTTAAGCCTGCTTTAATTACTTAGCTCTTCTTCTGTTGTGCCCAATTTTGAATATTTAGACTTTTATATTCTAAAAGCAGTTAGTAGGTATTTCCCAAGCAGTTAGCAAGTAATTCATAACTGATTAAAAGTTCTAGTAGTTTATCATAGTCCTCTTCAGATAGACAGTCTAGAAGACTCATTATACAGCTCCAAAGAGGGCTCCCCTAGCTTCTTATACTAATAGCCTTTAGGATTAAACGTTGGAAATGGACATAACAGAATAGTAAAATATGCTCTAACTGCCATGTCACATCCCAATGTAGAGGATTAACCTCAGAGAGATATTGCCCAAGGCCTAAGTACTTAGTAAGTAGTTCATAAGTAGTATTTAATTACTTACCAGTGTATTGTTTTGAGTCCATATCTATTATAATCCTATATATCCCAGTACTATGGAGATGATCAAAGGATATCAACCATCCCAGAATACTTTCTACTAAGGAGAAAACCCTTTTGAATAGTAGATAATATCCTTTGACAGAATCAAAGCTTGTAAAGACATGAAATAAGGTAATAACTAAGAGGAGTACTTAGTAAGTGCTCTCTAACTACTTAGGAAGTACTTACTTTTTAACTAATCAGGCAGAAATGTTACAAAAAGGACCTTATTTATCTCTTTTAAGTGGATATATTTAAAAGACATATCTAGTTTAAAAGAAGATAGTGTCACAAGCAGTTAAATCTGCTCTTTATATATGTAAAGAACCATAGTTCCTTATGAATCATGGAATATCCTCTGGATATATGTCTAAGAGCTATAAGTACTTAGAAATCACTTTAAGGCTACTTATAAAGTACTTACCTTCATATACAGATCAATCCCTTGGAGAAATATCAGACCATTTATATCCTGTCCATTTAGATATGAAAGAAGCCATTGCTTCTGAATAACTGCAGCAATTCAATCTTTATTACAGAAACTCTTATAAATATCTGCTAATGTAGAAGCATTATGCTTCTTACAGAAGGCTTTAAGCTGAGGATTTCGAAGAAATTGAGCTATTAAGTACTTAGTAAGTACTATATAAGTACTTAGGAACTACTTACCAGTTGTTAAGCTGGGGTCCTAGATCTCCTGGATAATCTGCCTTACTGCCTGCAGAATATGTTCAGGAGGCTTGGTAGGTGGGGGTGGAGGATGCTAATGAACACTATGTGAGGTAAATAGGATATATGGACATTAGGAAATATCCACAGGGACTAAAGCATTAAAGATAACATTATAAGGAGTATGCTTTAGGCATCCAGAGCCCTGTGGATAATCATGATCTAAACTAGTTAGAAAGTACTCTCATAGGAGTCACTAAGTACTTGATAAGTACTTACCACAGAACTTTTGCCAGGATGCCAGTGGCTCAAAGACACCACATTCTTTAGACTAAGGTATAATATCCTCATTAAAAAGCTTCTCTAAGAAATTAAAATTAATAGAAGTATGTCCTTGAACTACTCCATAATAATATTTTATTATAGTATTAGCTGTTTTATTCACACACCCGATATAAGGTGTATGATTTCCAAAAATATTCTAAAGTAGTCAGTAAGTACTTAGTAAATACTTAGGAAGTGCTTGAACTATACTGGTTGTTAATATCTTTTAAATATCAGCTTACATGATGGGAGCTATAATATACAACCTAATCCCCTCTTAAATAAGCTAAGTTTAGAGTGATAGTAGCTATTAAGCAGTTAGCAAGTAGTTAAGAAGTACTTATAAACTACTTACCTATAGGCATTCTGCTTCCGAACATTAGACTTAAGAATCTGGATTAATCCCTGAGATTCTTGAATTCTTTTCCAAATACTCTCATCCACTGAGGTATGATGATAAGAAAGAAGAGAGGGACTAAGATATTCACAAGCTAGAATACCTGAGTATTTCTATGTCTATTTTTTTACTGAATATAATAGGAAAGGTAAATAGATACTGTGTTTTCTCTGGCTAAAGGTCTGCTTCCAAGCATATTAAATCTAAGCAGTTTATAAGCAGTTCATAAGTAGTTAAAAAGTACTATATAAGTTGGTCTTTTTATACCTCCTATATCATTTGCTCTGCTTCATTCTGTGTATATCGTGTAACTGGAATGATATATGTATAACTAAGAATATGGCTAGTAGGATACTCAGGGAGATCATCAATATACTCAGTCTTTAATGTTGTAAGAGCAGAGGTTTTTGCATTAGTGAGAGGAATTGGTAGATGTTAATCCTAAGTAGTTAGTAATCAGTTGGCAACTGCTTAAAAAGTACTTATATTAACCATACTTCATTACTTTGTGTTGTATCTTCTGGCCAGTCAAATAGACTATCATTTGGTATAGAGCTTGATCGAACTGATGCCATATTTATAGGGTTAAGTCTTAGCTGCCTCTATAATTAATAAATTAATTATGAAGTAGTTACTAAGTACTTAAATAAGTATTTAAAATATTTACTGTACTAGAATTTCAGATAGAATAGTAATTTATTATATAGGTCGCGCGAGCCGTAAATGCTTATTAATGGTCTTAGCGGTCACATGTACGGGGTATGGCTCATATGAGCAGTCCGGACTGCTCATGTGAGCTGTGTACACTGTCCAGGGGGAGGTTGCATTAGTGAGCTTGCTTAGGAAAGATCCTTCATGCCTGAATTCTAAGGCCTGGATATTCTAACTAAGTTAGGTTAGTTAAATCAACTACCTACTATGTAGTTATCAGAGATCTGCAAAGTGGGACATGTATGTGCACCAATGGGATTAATAATTGGTCTGAATTGCTACTACAGTACAAGGCTCTATCTGACAATCTGCATGGGCAAGGCCGGATTATGCTCAACCTATCCTGGTGCGTTCCAACACCTTCGCCGCATAAGTATGCTCAAAGACTTTCCCCCTTTACCATTGAATTTAGCTTGATAATAACACTCAGAAATATTCACAGATGTAATATATAAAATGAAATCCACATCAGACTAGTGAGAGGCTACTTAATTCGACCAATTTTAATTGATTGGCTATCAGTCCTCTGCCACTGCCAAATACTTATTCACTCATCAATAGTGGACTAAGCCTTCTCCCACCTTCCATTCCTCTTGACCCAGAGACCATTAGCAATACAATCAGGGCATGGGTCTCTCTTAGTCGTCTTGCCCATTTGTTGTGTTTTCTGGATGATGCTGCAGTTGTTACAGCCATTAAGCTCAATGACACTGCCGGGGGAATCAATTCTACACCCGCATCTATGCTCAATTATTTCAATGAGTCACTGACACATGTTTCTCCTGAATTTTGCCCTTGTCAGCTACGGCGAGTATATCTAGCAGCGATACTCACAGGAGGCAGAGGTAGTATCAAATATAGGACCAGTTTTGGAAGATTCAGTGGTCGTGACTTGGTTTTCCCTTGTGTTTTGGTGGTGAGAGAGCAATAAAGCACTAAGCAGAGATATTTATATTTGGAATTTCATTATGAAGAATGGTCAGCAAGAAATGATCCTAAACTTGCTCACGGACCTTGCTCAAATCTTAAACGTCAAGTTGCCAACATCATGCTAAACAGCAAGGGACATTCTTAGATAAGAACTGACAAAAGAGTTACAGGACACTGGTACACACGTGCCTGATATATTTTCCCAACAACTATTCAAAGACGCATGGGAGCTTCAATTATGACAAAGACCCGAAATTTGAGACTTGTTAGTTATCACAACAAACACCCACTTGGCCAAAAAGGATAAGCCTAGCTGCAGGTCTTACATCACCTAGCCCCTTCACGAGCCGCAGGCGTGAGCGCCACTGAGTACTGGCGCATAATGTGGCCCTTTTTTAGAGCCATGTTATTTATTTAGAGCACAGAAGCAAAAGTTCCAGCCACTAGTCAAACAATGATGAGTATTGGATTATCCATGATGAATATTATTATGACCTGAGCTAAGTAGTGATATAATCAGACAAAGGAAAGTACTGCCCTTTGTTTTCTTTAACTCATCTTTCCCTTCAGAATGTCTGCCGGTGTGGTATTCACTTAATTCAAGGCCCTGGTGACTAAGATGGAATCAATCAGGTTGAAGCTCTGCAATAAACAGATTCGCCCAACAGGAGATCAACTAAATCAGTTTCAAAATCTATATACGAGGCTTAAGGAAGCATTACCAAGTTATGAAACAGGTATTCAGAGACTGTTAGCTATAGGGACCCCAGATAGACAAGACATTCAACTTATAAATCACATCCAGGCTGCCAAGAATTCCCCCACAACCACCACCTCAACTTTAACAACTCTAAAAAGGAATTTAGTTCTTATATTTAAGGGATAAAAAACGTTCCAACTAGATTCTGAACAAGTAAAGACAAGAAACAGACAGTCCCTATAGATTAGGGATAGAACATATTTTAGAACCCTACAGTCTAGGTGTGTACCACCCCAGCGCAGTTAAACACACTTAAAGGATGAAATCATAAGCTATGGTAAGATTTCCTCATCATTATCAAGGCAACTAAAGTAACAGAAGGAGATAGTGGCCAGGAGGTCATGCATACTCAAACTTAATTAAAGAAGGAAGTAGCTGATTGGTTATCTAATTACAGTTTCTTTAGCGTGACTGATGTGACCCAGCTGCTTACTTAATCATAGACAGCACAGTTATTAAAAGAGTCAAATACTGTGCATTTCTCAGTGATTATTTATTTTGCAGGTTATGCTGCACTTATTTATAATGAAGACAACATATCTGTTTACTGTCTACATTTAAAAAAAAAAAAAAATGGTGCCTAGCAAGCTAGATATTACATGGTAATTAGATTCCACCTCTTTGGGGTCCTTCAAAGTCCAGGAATTAAATCAACTCATTTTTGAAGACATAGACATCCACGGATCTTGGGCGCTGAATCAGTCTCACATTAAGAACATTATTCATTGATTCAATCATAAGGGATGTCGCCAACTTAATCCACTCACTTGGATTCCTTGCAAAGTATCAAAGTCTGTTCTACAGTCACTGTTAACAGTTAATCCAAAAAAAACATATATAGATCTTCCTACCGACCTACAGCTTCCAGAAGGATCTGAGCTCCATTATCTTTAAGGCCAACATCGAATTGCCATAGCGGTCAAGTGGTTAGAGCCTAATGATCTTTAGTAGAATTTGATACTCTACAACTCCAAGAAGCAGAAAATGGGTCTCAAATCTCCAGTGACAGTAAAATATTTCAAAATATTCAACATTATCAGCTTCATAGAGAAGAAAAGCCAGCCCAAGAATGGCTGGCAAATCCCCCTCTAACAATAAGATTAATCACGCAAACTAACTCATAGATAAAGGAACTTTGTGCCTATCTCCACAAAATACATTCCGCGTGGGTCTCTCTTACATGTGGCAACTCCCAAGCCTTACCTAGACCCAGGCACTCTTGAACTTCTTCACAGCCGTTATCCCCGCCTCTCATTGGATGATTGAAGATTTATTCAACAAATATTTCATAATACCCTAGCCTTTCCACGCGTCACCAATCCAGCTTCATGATCACAACTCCTGCAGGCTGCTTTGAACTACCCGGGAATTATACCTTTTCTGCATCTATTCCTCGAGGACATCAAGTACTTGAAGCTAATGACAAGACATCCTCAAGAAAGTTCTACCTTTCAAATTCAAAGGCACCATTCATCAAGCTACATTGCGATATTTCATTCCCACTCTGAAGAACCGGATACAGGTGTCAGAGAACGATTTTGATGAAAGAGAATGTAACAGCCAGGAAGAACTGTTCTGGTCAGCTTATCAATAATTTTTTCTGTTCGCAATGCGTCACTTTTTCAGGTTAACTGATATCCACCCGCGAGGTCATAGTCAATCCTCCAAATCCCAACAAAGGCTCAAGCCTTCAGACTTATGGAAGAGGTTAAAGTTTCTCCTTCATCAATTAGGATTTGTTCTGGATTAATCTTGTAATGTTAAAGCACCACCAAGTACAGAATGCATAGCCATTCAGACACTGCTTGCCCGACTGAGGCCTCCAGAGCTCTTCGAATATGACCATGCCATCTTGACCAAATGCAGTAGCCATGTTACAACTATTCTCTCACAAATTAAACCCCGCATTATAAGCGCATTGCAGCCATTACAAAGTGCGGATGTTCCACAGAATTAGTCTCTGGCCCATCGTTGTGGCATGACAGACACAGATACTTTTCTTTTCTGACTGCAAGTATCTCTTTTTGCAGAACATCTATTCACCAGATGATGAACCTTGTGTGAGCATTATGTTGTTTGCGGTGAAGCGGGACATTTTCAAATCATTCTTCCCAGACAGTGAAGATATAGAGATGACAGGGACATTCCCAAGTGGTAACAATATAACAAACATACAAATAACACCAACAGATTTGACTCAGCACCAAGATACTCCGATGCCCGATACATCATCATCTCAGCCAGACATTTCCGGTGGGAACAATGATCAGAATACCCTACAGGATACCCATATTCCAAAGGATCAAGATGTCGCGATGCGTGATATTGGTTCTGACAAGACAATTCGGCCAATCGGCAATAGTGTTGTTCTCAGTTCCTCGCAACTGACCGCCAACAATCAACCAGCCGTTGTTCCATCTCTGGCACGCTTTTAGAGAAACCGTGCTGTGGCCCCTGGTAAACAGCACCGGCAGGCAGGTGCTAAGACACGGTATCCACAATTTAATGAAACCGTGATGTGGCACACGACATCGACGGAGGACTAAGAAACATAAATAGTCAGATTCGCATTGTTCTCTTTTATTCAAAGACCACAGCCTCTGGTTTTCCTCCAAAATGGAAGCCTCCCTACCACAGCTTGCACAACTTGGTGCTACTTTCCTCCAGTACGCTATCGAAAATCCTCAATTTAAGCATAACAAGGATTCTCCCTTCTTTTTAGAAGCTTTTCTCAAGGGAGCGGCGTTCTGGCATCAGTTGAAGCATCTAGCTATATTGCGCCGGCAGCCTCGGCCTCTGAGGTCTCTGAACTGCCATCAACATCAAATGCGACTCACGTGGACACGCCCAACTCAAAAGCATGAATTTTTCGCGCCTTAGTGAACCAAAGTTTTAAATTTACGGCAAGCGACCTGTGCTCAGAGACCAATATCTGCGGTGGCGACGTATCTGCGCTGAAGACTATGGCCATGGCTCGATACTAGAGAAAATTGTTGCCGGCGTCAATCGCCTCAGCACGCTCAAAGATGAGTCAATAGGATCGATTCCTCTGGAAATAACATATTACTACCTGTTCTCTCATTTCCGTCAATATAAACTCGGTGATGATGTGGCATCTCTTACGAATGCCGGTCTTTACGATACTGTTCTGCGCCGACTTCATGCGGAAGGATGGGACCACTTAAGCGACAGAGCCCGACATCGTCATCGTAACAATCTCAGGTGCCAATTACTTATTGACCGACGATGGTCTGTTACCATCGGCCGGTTATCTCATGGAGTAGTTCTCCTCGCCGCCAAGAAAATCTCTAGTTTGATGTAAGTGAATGTATTACTATCTAGGTTTAGACTTTTAAGTGCTAACAAACCTTACAGACATCGGAAGGATCCTAAAATAACGGAATTCAACGATCTGTTTGATCATATCACAGAGGAATACGCTCAGGCTGTCGAGTTATACAACAAGGCTGACTTGCTTGGGAGGACGCTGTCAACAACAGGTGCTCCGTCTACCTCACAAGCGTTGAATGAATTCAATGAAATTGAGTCTCTTCTTTGCGAAGGACAAACATTGAAGCATCTATAGATGATCTCCGCTCGGGTTCCTAAGCCTGCATTGAGAGACGATCCGCCGACCTGAAGCATATCGGTTTATGCGTTTTCTACTTCTCTTTGTGCTACTAAATATGTTGTTTCGAAACTGGGAGGGAATACGAATGAACAGAACTCAAGCCAGCTCTCTATCGCATGCAAAAGGTCATTCATTCTGGTATGAGAGAAGCCTGTTACAAGATTTATGTACATGTATATGTCTATAGCGGTGTTGCCGTGTTTTCCCGCCTCCTCTCAGGACTTCTATATGTTAATTTCAATATATTTCCCATTTTTGGTCTAATAAAATATAATTGGCCGGATGGTGTAGTTGGTTATCACGTGTCGTTAACACCGACAAGGTCCTGGGATCGAACCCCAGTCTGGTCAACTTCTTTTTTTGTCCGTGTCATGAATGCTTCACACTTCGTCTACTATGCTTAGCCTGACCTTTCAGGCAAGCTTCTGTCAAACTGATTTAACAAGGCGAATTTGTTGATGTCTTGTCATATAAGGTCCTGATATGTTTTGACGAAAGGAATTTCGCTCCTATTTTTGCCTCCACGATTCGCAGAGGGCCGGTCCTCAAAGAAACACCGGTAAACATCCAATTGTTCGTGCCCTATTTAGTAAGTACTTTGCTGAACAGTTCCAAGGGCTCAACCGCACCGAGGACCATGCAATCTACGTTCATTTCACAAACTCCACTGACACAGAATCACTGAAAGTGGCAAATTGCTGACAATGGTATATTCAAAGCAGCACCACTAGTGCTGAGAATTGCAATATTTTACACGAAGTTATACTAGAGTAGATTTTTATCAAAGACATATACTGTGGTTTTTGGATAGATGGAGCTTATAGCCATTGGGTGAGGGGAATATATGGACACAACCGGGGATGTCACATTGGCGACCAGGATTGTCGAAGAACAAAGGTAACTTATGAGTCCGGAAATGCGTCTGGAGCGCATCCTTTCGAGAATAGTGGGATTCCTTTGTTGCCCGGAGAAGTTCATATTAAGGAAAGAAAATCTTTGAAAGCGTATATGGAGAAATGTAAATGCACTAATAGTATAGTATTATGAGTAATCATAAGAGGTATATAATTATAGCATTCAATGAAAATGGAAAGTGCTTAGAAGAATGAATGAGACCCACTCCTCCATGATCGCTATAAGTGCTATGACACATTTCATGACTAGTAAGTAAAAGTTTTGATATATATATAGCATCCATCGAAGATTGCAAAGCGCTTAAAATAAATTGGATGTAGCCAATCCCTTTAACTAGGTATCAGTGCTGTTACATAAGTTAACTAGTACAATATTTGCTGACTAAGCTTAAAGCTAGCCGCGCCACGACTCGATCAGACATGGTGATCTCGCTATCTCAACGTTATTTACAAGACTTAACTTCTACCTAGTGCTTCTATATATGATGGATTTGCATGTTACAACAGCGAGCAGTGAGGAGTTGATTCGTTTCTGCATCCAGAGAGGAAAGGAAGGTGCCGTATTTGCCGACATCATAGGCGCAATAGTGGTCAAAGTCTCCCCTACCATCGTTGTCAAATGGGGATACAGTGTGACCGCTACTGAAGCAGCAATGCAAGAATTCGCTTATAAGAATGTGAATCGTAACATTGTTCGAGTACCTCGGGTTTATCGCTTTGTCCAGGATGAATTAGGGAGAGGTTTTCTATTTATGGACTATGTTCCTGGCCAGAAACTATTGGATTTGGACCTCATAGTTCACACAGACATCATACCCTGTGTCACCAATATCATTGCTCACCTCGGACAAATAAAACATGGACAAAAGCCAGGTCCAATCGGCGAAAAAGGTCCACAGGGGTATCTCTGGGGTGACGATGGCGTGGATAAGGCTTTTGTGTCTACTGCCCATTTGAATCGTTATCTCAACAGGCGTCTGTCATTGAGAAATGACTCTATTGATCTAAGTCCATATCCGCTCGTCCTCTGTCATATGGACCTGGTTCGTCGCAACATGATACTTGGAGAAGATAAATCTATTTATCTTCTTGATTGGGCCCATGCTGGGTTTTTTCCACGGTTCTACGAACTTGCGGCGCTTCCGTGCATGAGTCCTTATGATGAGCCCTACGAGAAGCCACTTATAGCAGCCGTGGAATCAATGATGCAGTTGACAGATGATGAAAAACGCGATATGAAATTGATCCATTATGCCCGGGCAGCAACTTTGAGATGGCAATTGTAGGCGAAGCCGTTCTTCCCCCCTATTACTTATCTTTGAATTGAAGCTAATGCTGTGCGGATATAGTCCTGAAGAGCCTGAGGAAGCGTGACGCGTTCTCCTGTTCAAGTAGCAGTTAAGCCGTTGGGATGTGGAATCATTCCTCTATTATATGCGGATGGTGGTGCATGGCTAGCTTGTTCGCATCTGGCTGTTGTTGACAGAAGACATGAACCCTCGATCAATAACTTGCCTGACATGTTCAAGAGGGCTCTTATTTTCAGGGTAGCTTTGAATCTTATACCTCAGTGCCTGGGTATTTCTCCCTCTCTGATGCAGCTCGCTTAAAAGTTATAAAGTCCCTTCAAGATTGTAGTTCAGACCTCATATGTGACAATTCCCGGTTAAAGAAATCAGGTCGCTTATTTGAGCTTTTATCCCAGATGCTAGCCACTCGCTTCCAGGGATTTGGTCATCACATTTATCGCATCTGGTAAGCTTCCTCACCTTTTCTCTGTTTGTCTGCAGAGCTGATTGAGATAGGACTCTTACTATCCAATACCAGAACACAAAACACTGAGCGATTTCTCTGTGGAATGGAGACCGGAAGAGGAAGCAGCATGACACTTGCAGAAGAAACTTATTGTCCCCGCCGGAATCTTATGTAAAATAGTCTAAATCCATGGTTCTTGATGTTCCATATGGCTCTACCTAATGTAGTCAACCAATAGTATCAACACTAAGCGTTTGACGGTTAGGACAAAATCTCACTGCGTACTTAGCCTCATCTTTTGACTAATGGTGCCAACTCTGGTAAGTTATTGCAAAGTTCCTCTTGTATAAGAAGCTCTCTTATGTGAGAAGATTTCTCATGTGGAAAAGTCTCTTGCGCACTGTTGAAGTAGAAGCTTAGAAGCTGAGTGTAGTAAGTTGGTCATCCCTCTTCTGATCTTGAGGGGCTGATGGACTAGTTATACTACGTATACATCATATATGCACAGGCCCACATCTTTATCGGAGCAACACAGCCACCGAGACATTCAACAGCCGAAGCCAAATTTGGACCCAAGGAGCCATGGGTGATGAGAAATCGTCGCATACGTAGTAGTCTGTATTCGCACATAAGAGAAATTATCGCCTGGGCGAAATTGTTGCCTAGGAGACCTACACTAGGCAGCTGACTTATACGGTGCATAAGAAAGATTTTCATGTAAGACAGATCAACGCAAAAGAGAAGTTTGTGCATAAGAGAGACTTGTGCATAGAAGGGTTTTTCGCTTAAGCGAACTTTAGGCGTAGGAGAACTTCTCGCAAAAAAAGAATTGTGCTCTCCATGGATCCAAAAATGGTTCTTCACCCAAACAAAATGTGCTCAAGATCGTAGTGCTGACCTCATGCGTGATAGCTCCCGTTGAAAGGAATCGGAGCGCTTGTTTGGGCTTTTATCCCAGACCCTGATCACCCGCTTCCGTTTTTGATTGGCAGCAATGGAGCCCAAGGGAATCCGTTTTTGATACTGCGCTCGCTCGAAATCAATGAACATGACCCGTTGGTTCTCCTCATTCCATATCATGTTCCCCGGGATTGGATCGCTGTGGAGAACACCAAGATTGTGAATGGCACGTAAAGACGTCTCAGCCTGTGCAATGAGCTGCGCCTCATCGATTTCGTGTTGTCTGGCCAGGTTTCTCCCAGCATAGCTCATCAGAGTTAAGTGAACCATCATGGCGATACCATCGTATGAAAACTGTCGACGAAGATTGAGACCGCCGAAGACGATTGGGACGAACTGTCCTTGAATCGCACGGAGATGGGAGTACATCATCTCCTCCCGCCTGGCACACTCGACGAAGTCAATTGGAACACCTTTTCCAACAAAGGTGTACCCATGCGACCAGAGAGTGATTTTAAAAAGAGCCCCACGTGTGCCGTGTACATGAAGTGATTCGCATCCAAGCTCTGAGTTGGGGTCGGGGTCATCGGAGAGCTGTCGATCTAATAATTTGATAAGCGTTTTGGTGTTAAGTAGATGTCGATCGACTCCGTGCTCGCTCGCATTGGGACACTTCGTATCCAGTGGTCCCTTCCAGCACAGGCTACGAAGGCATTGTTGCGTACAGTACTTTCGAGACTTGCCTTTCGAGGCCGGTTGTTGTGACCTGGTAGTGGTTCGGGTTGTGGCGGCTGTAGCTTGACGCTGAGGAAACCCAGAGTCACGGGGCGCTCGACTGGGAGTGGGTGGATCGGAGCTATCATCAGCCTCATCTTCATGATCTGATAACCGTGATTCTTGCGATGGCTCACAGGAAATGGCCATCACAGATTTCGATCTGGTCTTCACTGGGGACTGGCGGCAATAATTCGTTCGGCTGAGCGGTGGTTTGTAGTCAGAAGCAGGAATGTCCTTCTCCTCGATTTCCTCCAGTAGGTCATCATATACCATTTCCCATGTTTGCAATTGGCTTCTGGCCCAGTTTCTCCAAGTGATATCCCGTGGAGAAGTTCGCAGAGCTCGCAGGGTGAAAGCTAACAGCTGGCCGACTGCGGTTAGATGTAGCCAATTGTCACCTCTGGGCCAACCAGTGGTGTTGCCAACATCTTCTTTCGGTACTGATAGATAGTAAAGGACGGTCGAAGGAATATCATGAGGCACTCGAAGGAATATGAATGCTTCGCCTGTGGCTATGCAGCCGTACTCGTTACCGCTGTCGTACATATAGTTGGAGAGCTGTGTAACCACTGCGGCGACAACACGACGGCAGATATCCTCTGGCGATTCGTCTTTCTGGTATCGCACGATGCGGTCAAGTTCCATGTCTTGTAGTCCGGCTTTGATGTGGGCGAGAGACAGCTTATGCGGGGCTTTGTATTCGATGAGAAAGGACGGAATCTTCTCATCGAGTCCGCGGTTGTAAACGCAGAACTGGTCCGCGCGAGGACGAGCGAGGCGTGGCTGTGCGGTTGTTTCTCTTCTCATCCGTGATGTTGATCTGGAGGTGTCCCTCGACCGTCTTGCTAGGCGCTCTGAGCGACGAGGTCCTTCTTGATTCAGACTCAAAGAGTTCATGTCCGTGACTATTCTGGACTCATCCGTCAATGTGTTTGCATGGTTTTCAAATGTGACATCTCCGTTGAGGTGGAATCTTCCTTTTAGTTGCTCGTTGGCGTGGAGTTGCTTGATGACTGAGGCAATACGCGACTCCACGCTGTGGCGCTGGAAGTAACCTAAATCTAATTCTGAGCTGAGCATTCTGTCGCGGACTTCCTTTCCGTATTCTTTTAACGCCAGTAGCGGTGCAAAGTGACGTTCGGTAACAAAATCTGCATCCATGAGGTCCGCCCATATTGCCATCTGCTCGTCTGGGAATCTTGTCCATTCCTGGATTCTGCTTGGTCGCAACTTGCGGTCCGCATTGGCAGGATCACCCTTTGTTGACGACTTCTTGCCCTTCTGAATCGTCAGACCGAGGAAGAGATATTCGTGGCACGCGTCGAGAAATTCGGGGAGTGTTGTATTTCGAGTTTGCAGTATTTCGAGGTTCAAGTTCCGTTCCGCTTCCTCTTGTCGCCGCTCTGCTTCCTCTCGTCGCCGTTGTTCTTCCTCTCGTCGTCGTTGTTCTTCCTGACGTTGTTGTTGTTCTTCTATAATCCGATTTTCAGCGTCCTTGAGACGCTGTCGCAATTCGTTAATCTCATTATGCGACATATTGATTTATTTGTGGAGAAAGAGAGCATTGTAAATGGTAAGCTATGATGAGCCATGAAATTTCCTGATGGGTTGTTGGACTTACAGATCGAGAATCAAGAACAGATAGGCAACAACAAGGCCGCCACACGTGACTTTCTTGGCTGAGCAGGCGCTATAAACATTCCGCATTATGTGTGGGTCGGCCCAGTGATCAATTAAACTAGATCTAATTGAGCTTAAAGCGAAGTGGGGAGGAAAAGGGACGAATAGGGACGAATAGGGACGATCCGAAACAGTCAGAGAAAGTCGTCGTAACTAACTGAATATAGTTGGTAGAAAAATGATTTGTCACACGCTTACTACTACGATAGCTAAGCTGCTTTACAGCTTTATCTTCCTCATCAGACGCTCATCAGACACTCAAAAGATGACATGGATCTGACACTGCCGACGTTTCCTGGATGCAATTGTCCTTTGCATAGAGAAGTTTACGAGACGTGGCCAAAAAGTAATGCGATTCTTCGTGTCTCGTCTTGCATGAGGAATTGCCCATATTGCGGAAAAAGCCATTCGAATGCCAGCCGTCTTCGAAAACATCTTAAGACTTATACTTATCGCTCTAGGAATCTCATTGTTGAAGCTGAACATGCTGGTGTTGGAGTCAGGTTTGTCACGCACTCACAATGTCAGCACTGTGTAACACTGCGTTGACAATATGCCAGGAACCCCCACTGGATCGCTGCTGTTCCGGACCCAAATTCGACATCAAAGATTGGAAAACATTCAGACTTGGTAGAGGGTAATAAGATAAGAGCCACCGTACGCAACGAGTCAGTGAGCCCGGTGCGACAAGCCCTGGATGAAATTCAGGACATCTTTGGAGCTGCGTTTAGTGGCCTGAATCGCTGTAATCTGTATCCTCTAATCGATGTCCCGCCAACAGTCCGAATATAATCTATATTTTATATAAAACGCTGTTTTCTACTTATCCCTATAAGTAACCTAAATTTAGTAATATATATTATAGAGGTTAAGCTAGGTGAAGATCTATACTCTACTTAGTCTTATAATTATTTCCTTAATAAGTAGGAGTAGGTATTAATTCTTAATAATAATCTTATTAAGTCTATAAAAGTCTATATATATCTAGATACTCCTATCCTTCTTAGGTATATATAGTAGAGGTGCTTCTATAGGGGACTTAGATTCTTAGATCTAACTCTTTATAAGTATAATTTAGATATACTTCCTAATTACTATAGCTTTATATAAGGAGTAACTATAAAGAGGCCTAAATAGGGGTTTCTTCTCTTTCTTTAATTTAATCTTTAAGTCTATATCTTTATAATATTTAGGTATGCTTATAGCATCCTTCTCTAAGAAGATACTTATAAATTAGTTATACTATATAGATATCTCTAATAATACTACCTCTAGTGCTTTAATAATATATATTTATATAGCCTCTTATAGATCTATCCCTAGCTCTTTTTAGAATTACTTTATAGAGACTATATCTATCTAGATAGCCTCTTTATAGAAGTAGACTATATACTTATCTTATTCTATCTATAGGGTATATTATATTAGTTATAGCATCCCTAGGTAGATATCTTTAATATCTAGGGATACTACTATATAGATCTAAAATTCCTCTTATTTTCTATTAGTATCCTATAGTTAAATTTAGACCTCTATAACACCCTTATTATAAAGCCTCTTCTTATTTACTATCTATAAGAATACCTAATAGGGAAGCTTATTCTAACCTACCTATTTTACTAGGATAGATAATATTAGATTAACTTTACTTCTACTATCCACTAGAGCCCTATAGTTAAGGATAGTCTAATTAGGAAGAGTAATCTTTATAGATAAGTAGATATATTATATAGTAACCTATTCTTACTAAAAAGATATTACCCTTATGTAAGGATTGCGAAGGTCCATTATATATTATATTAAAGCTACCTTTACAGAGGAGCCTACTAATAAGAAGGCTCCTTATAAGAGGTTATATAAATAGTTATATAATATATAAAGATATAAACCCTATCTATGATTACTAAACTCTAAAGTTTAGTAATAATCTCTTTAAATAAGGATATCTATCTTTAAATCTATTTATAAATATTCTTCTTTTATATTAGTTTCTAATTTTTATAGATTATAAATCCTTATATTTTATTACTTAACCTTTAAAACTAGTCTATTAAGAAAATAATATTATAAAAGAGATTAATTAGATCTAAATTATCTAGTAAACCCTCCTCTATAACTATATAAAGTTAGATAGTAGAAAAAGAGATAGCTTATAAAGAGAAAGGCTCTAAGGATAAGCTAGATTTATAAGACTTTTTTATTTTAATAGATCTAAAGTTAATAGAGATAACCCCTATAAGAGAGTATTTATAATAGGAACTATAGCTCTTATAAGAAATCTAGAAGCTTTATAATAATCTAGGTATAGGCCTTAGAAAGTATCTATAAAATTAGAAATAATAGGAATTATTCTTATTACTTATAAAGAAGACTAATATCTAAATCTAATCTCTACTTAAATTAGAGAAATACTTAACCTATAATTATATAATATACTAAGCCTTTATTATAAGCTAGGAGTCTACTATAAAGGCTAATAACTAGGATAAGAAGAAGTATACTAAGATTATAATAGCTTATCTAGATTATATTCTCTCTAATCTTTAATAGAGTAAGATATCTAAGAACTTTTATAATTAAGAATAAAAAGATCTTTATACTTTCTTAGAATTATAACTAAATAATCTAGAGAATTATAGATAGGAAGTATAATTATAAATATTTTAGATAAGGCCCTATAAGAGAGAAATAGACTATATATATTAATAGAGGTAGTATAAGTAATAGATTAAAATTAGAGATAATATAAAGAATATAAAGAAGATATAATTATACCTCTTTTTTAAGTTCCTCTCTAATTATTTACATAGAAGATCTATAAATACTTAAAATTCTTAAAATCTAAGAAAGAGATAATCTCCTTACTTATAAGATTATATCTAAATATAAAATAGAATACTTATTAGGATCCCTTATATAGAGATAAGGATTATTAAGACTTTAGGAACTTAAGGAAGCCTCTTATAGATTATATTATTATTAAGAAGATAGAGATAATAGAATCTACTATAATTATATTATTTATAAAGAGATAAGGCTTATAGGCTTATATCTTTAGTATCTTATAAATCTATTTTAATTATAATAAAAAAGAATATATTATAAGATACTACTTAAGTAAGCTTAAGTAGGAGGACTCTATAAAGACTAAATAACTAATTATTATTATTATTATTAAAGAGTAGAATAAGAAGTATTATAGATTCTTACTCTCTTATCTAAGTATATTTCTTTAGGCTTAGATAAGAGAGAAGGGATAAGGACTAGTCTTATAAGTATTAATTAATAGTAGAAGCTTTATTAATCTTATTTCTATAATATTAATTAAGAAAAATAATTAATATACCCTACTATAGTAGGTCTTTATAGAGATATTAACCATATAAAAAATAAGAAATAAAGAAGTAGTAAAAGCTAATATTTTAGTTAAGAATAATAAAGAAATAAAGTAGCTCTTTATAGAGCTTATAATAGTATCTCTAAATATAAATTATATTATCTTAAGGATATTATAATTAAAGTAGTATAATCCTATAATCCTCTAAAGAGAAGATAAAGTAATTTTTAATATAGAGTTAGCTCTATAAATTTACTTAATCTTAGTAGAAGAGTTTATAGAAGTAAAAGATATAATAATTATAATAGTATAAATTATAAAAGCTTTATAAGAGATAGTAAAGAGTAAGAACTTTATATTAGATTAGTTTATAGACTTTTATATAGTCTTCTTAGAGAAGAAGACTTAGGAATTACTATTATATTATAAAGATATAAATCTAAAAATAAATCTAGAGGAAGAGAAGTAACTACTCTTTAGACCTCTTTATAATTTCTCTTTAGTAGAGTTAGTAATACTTTATACATATCTTTAGATAATATTGGTATTACCGGGGGTAAGGTAGTATCACCAGGGGTGAAGAGAGATAGGCTGGGCTAATGCCTCTTTACTTACCTGGGGTAAGATCTTCTATTTATACCTAGCTACTGGCTATCTATCTAAAAGATAAGTTATAAATATTATAGAGATTTCTTAGGTCAACCTTAGTAACCCAGAGTTAATCTTAGTAATTATTAATTTATTTATAATATTTATTTACTACTATCACATCCTCCCCTACTTAAGGTAAAGCCCATCCTTAGTAGGTTATCTAGCTCCTTACTAAAGGTCCTCATAGTCTAAGGGAGTAATATCATACATAGTAAGTAGGATTAGATTTATCCTTAGTAAGTGATATTAGATTATATTTAGTAAGTAGTCTTAGATTATGCTTAGTAAGTAGTATTAGATTACTTAGAGGGTAGTATTAGATTACTTAGTAAGTAGGGTTACTAGTGTGGTTATTATAGTAGAGATAAGATAAGGTTATATATTATTTATTTTAATTTTAAGTAAGTCTACTTTATCTTACTTATTTTCTTTTTATCTCTTATATTTCTCCTTCTCTTTTCTCCTTCTGTGAGCATCTTCCTTTTTATTATATTAATTATTATCTTTCTTTTAGTAAGTCTCTTTTTTTATATACTAGTCTCTTATATTCTTCTTATACTTAGTAAATATAAATACTCTATAAAAGAAGGGTAAAGGCTGCCTTATTTATTAGGAGGATATAATTACTTTTAGTAAGTTTAGTAAGTATTCTTCCTAGCTTTAGTAATTACCTCTTACTAATAGTAGAAGCTTATCTTAGTAGACCTAATAAAAATAGATTAAAGGTAATGGATATTATTTACCTAATTATCTAGAAGTTTAATAAGAAGAGGAAGCTAGATATAAAGAAATATATTTATTTAGGCTATATATTAGCTATTATTCTTTAGTAGTAAGGTGTATCTTATAACTATATATTAGCTTATAA